GGTCTCGTTGAACCGTGCTCCTTCTTCTCCAACGTAGAGCCCGAGATCCTGTCCATCCCGACGAAGCCCGGTGAGGATTTGAATGTTCTCCTCATTCAAATAGATGTCCACCCCGTTGACGTTAGAGATCAAAGCTCCGTCCTCATCCTTTTTCAAGTTCGAGTAGAAAGCTCGAACAAGAAAGGGTTGATAATTGACCTTCTTGATGTAGAGGAGATCGAGGAAGTTTCCACGTTCGAGGATAATCCGTGCCTCACGTGGAATGGAATCATGAATGAAGCGGGCGGTGGAGAATCGGGGAGGGAGAATTTCCCGATGCTCAAACTTTTTCGAGAACCGCGTCGCCTCTTCGCGGTCGTTGAACCAAAGGAACGACCCGTCGAGATACTTGTGTGCCGGTGGTGGAGGAGCCGAAGAGGAAGCAACGTTCTTGCCAGTGCGGGAATGCTTTCTTTGACCGCCTGCCATTGCAACAAGAGAGGAGAGAGAGATTGCAAAAAATTTTGAAAAAAAATGAAGAATAGGATCAAGAATGATGAATTATGATGAATATATGGAGAAGAGATGATTGGAATTAGTAAAAATGGAGTAGATATCATCAATATATAGTGGAGGAGGTGTAGAGATCCGTTGGGATGGTCAAACAAGGCATTAACTGCTCTCCAACGTCTCTGCAACGGTCAGATTTTTGAAAAATCGCCGTTGATAATCGATTTACACTCCCTGTAAATCGATTATCTGAGGCTTCAGATTCTCCGCCAAAGAAACTGCAGGCTTCAATAATCGATTTCTGCCTTGGTTCTAAATCGATTATTGGAGAGAATTTGCCTCAAATTTCTAAAGGCTTTAATAGTCGATTTACATGTTTTTTGTAAATCGATTGTTGATGTCTCCAACTAAGTTTCCTCAAACTCCTGCAGGCTCAGATAATAGATTATCTCAATGTTGATAATCGATTGTTGGCTCCTTCAGTTTCTTTGCTCCAACTCCTGTGGGTTGTGATAGTCGATTATCACAAGTCTGTAAATCGATTTACACTCAGTCCTGGGAACTAGAAATCGATTTCTTTTGTTCCCCCTGACTTTGACACCTGAAAATTAAAAAAAAAAAGAGCCCTGCAAAAAAGAATTAAAAACGTCTCCGACGTTCAAGTTAATAGGGACCAAAAATTATAATTAATGCACAATTTAGATCATCGTGGAGTCAAGGATTCCGAGTTCACTACGAATGCGGAAGAACGACTCTTTCTCTAAAGGTTTTGTGAAAATGTCGGCTAATTGGTTGTGTGTTTCAACGAACTCAATTTCGACATCACCTTTGAGAACATGATCTCTAATGAAATGATGCCTAATGTCAATATGTTTCGTCCTTGAGTGAAGAACCGGATTCTTCGTCAAGCTTATAGCACTAGTATTATCACATCGAAGAGGGACGTGATCGATACTAAGGCCATAATCCACAAGTTGTTGCTTCATCCAAAGGGTTTGAGCACAACAACTACCGGCGGCAACATATTCCGCTTCGGTTGTGGATAACGCAACACTGACTTGCTTCTTGCTAAACCATGAGACTAAAGAACTACCAAGCAAGTGACAAGTCCCACTCGTACTCTTACGGTCTAATCTACAACCGGCAAAGTCC